CAGGCTGTATTACTTTAAGAACCCTTTTTACCTCTCTGCTACTTTTAGGAAGTTACCTCATCTGTAAAGTAATGAAAATAATAGGACTCCATTTCGTGTGATTGTGAGTGTAAATTAAGTCCTAAAACTGAAAAGCTCAGAACTTGGCCGACCATAGAGTGAACACACAATACATATGAGATATGATTGTTTCTATTATTACTGTTGAAGTAAAGTGATATGATATTCTTTTCACTGCAACCTAAGCTGCTATTTCATGCTGGACTCCTTTAGAACTGGTTCTGTGGCTAGGATCTGTCATGGTCAAAATTAACTAACCATTTTGGTAGGTCAAGGTGGTGGTGTCAAGACTCGATCTGTCGACCTCATAAACTTGCGGACCTCCCTTCCTTTCCCCCGAAACCCGAGAGTCAAAAGAATCATTTCAGAGTCTCCCACCACCTCCAGTGGCCCCTCAAACCACAACAAGACAGAATGATTTCCGGATGGGAATGTAGCAAAAGGGCGGGAGTTATGTGATTGGTCAGACTTCCGAGGCAGTTTGTCATATTTTTTATATTAATGTGGTATTCTCATCTTAGTTTGCCTAAACTTTATGTTCTCATTTTAGATTTCCTTCATATTACTGACACTAAATCCAACCAGTGTGCGGAGGTCTGGAATCCTGTGTATTCCCTACAACCAATCTGTATCGTTGCTTTGTTGAAAAAGAGACATGGATGATGGAATAACGCTGGAGAATTCAGATTTCCAGTCTTCAGGTAAAAAGCGCAGGTGGGACAGGCTCTAGGGGCTATGTGTGAAGTAAACAAACTTACATTTGGTGGGCGCCTGCTATCGATTCTGAGTCCTAACTCTCCTCGGAGAGTCTGTGTCTTCATGCTCTTCATTTCTTTTATCTGTGTCATAGTATTTTCAGCTACCTATCCAAAGTATCTTATAACCAGATCCACACTGTGTGGATAAAAGATAACAAATGTCTGTGTTATTTTTAATAGCATTATTAGATAAAATTGACATACATTAAAATGCTTAGAAACAGCTACCAATTTCTACCCTCCTCCCCCCAAAAATGCCTGCTGAGAATTTTGTTTGGGATTGTGGTGAAGCTATATATTCATTTGAGTAAAGTTGACAACTCCACAAAAGTGAAGTCTTCTGACTCATGAAAACAGGATCTTTTTCCATTTATTTATGTCTGGAATTTATTTCAGCAATGTTTTGTAGTCCTTGGTGTACAAGTTTTGCATGGCTTTTGTCATTTTTACCCATAAGTATTCAATATTTTATGCTACTATAAGTGGTATATTTTAATTTCCTATTGACCACTGCTAGAAGATAAATATTATCAGTTTGTATATATAGATCTTGTTCTTATAACTTTCCAAACTCCTGTGTTAGTAATGAGAAACTGATTGATTTTTTTAATAGGAGATGTTATCACTTTCAACCTTACCAACAAGTCACAGGGACCCTCAAAAAGGAATAAAGAGAGACTTAGTATCACTAAAATGATCACCATTATCATTGTCTTTCTGATAATTTTGATAACTACCCTGGCCACAACTTTAGCAGGTGAGTTTAGCTGGGTGAGTTGCCCACTTCCCAGATATGCTTATGTTAACTCTATATAAAATATTTCACCATATGTATGCTTTTCATAGTTTAGCTCAAGATTAAGGATAATTCTTGGACATCTTTGTACATGGAATGAACATATGAGGATAATAGCTGTACTTCATATTGTGAGGATAACAGTAACTTAATGCATATGAAACTTTCTTCTAAACTAAGTGTTACATATAGTCCTTACAAGGTAAGGGGCTCATGGTAAAATGATAAGTCCCCATACTGCATCCTTCATCAAAAAAGTCTCATTATGAAGAAATAGAAAAAGAACTACAAGGTGTATTTGTAGCGTAGTTAGTTAACAATGTATCATGAGGTCTTTATTTCCCTGTGGACTAGTAGCAATTTATGGAATATTATCTAGCTGTGGATCATCTTGCCCTAAACCATATACTTTTACATAAATATTAGTTTTTTTCTAATATGCTTCTAGTTAATGACTGTGTTGATAAGAATGGAAATTGAGTTCAAGGTGCAAAACCTTTGATCTGTGTCTGGTTGCACAGCTTCTGATGGGATCGGATTTCCAAGTCCCAATCAAATTCACAACTATTCATATGGGTTACAGAGAACTGGACAAGAAAAATTGTTACTATCCTAATGACTATATTTTGTACACAAAATATCAACTCTTAGTTTCTAAAAGGAAGTTCAGAATGATATATCTCCCTTTCATGATAGTAAAAACTATGTATATATTCCAAAAATAATTTGAAACAATTTTAATGAGATGTTTCAAAATATATGCATAAGTATATATGCATTTGGTGTGTATATATAAATGTGTATATGATTTACACATGAATACATATATATATAGTCTATATAAAAACATATGTATATGTACATATACATGCATACATGTTCTACACATGTATAGAAATATATACACTTGTAAGTATACTGTATGTATATAAATGGATAAATAGATAAGGAGATGGAGAAAGAAATCATTATATAAACTAGGCATTATGCTGTGTTGACAATAAACAAGATATATGATTCTTGCCCTCATTCTCTGAACAAAATAATAAAAATAAGAGGAATGAGAAGGAGGAGGAGGAGGAGGAGAAAGGTTTTTGATAAAACAAAATATATTAGTAAAGTGTTTTATGCTTTATAAAATATTTTAATACACAATATTTTATTTGAATTTTTTAGTGACCCAGAGTAGTAGTAAAGTATTATTGTCTTTATTTTCTTTTGTTATACACAAGAACTGTGACCATCAGAGATGGTAGCTGTCTAAAGAAGTTGAGTAGAGCAAAGTGACAACCTGAATCCAAGTCCTCTGCATTTTATTTATTATTCTTACAATATCTACAATGCTGCCTCTCTAAATGAGCTTATTTCCTATGGTTTATTTAAAATATACACCCACTAATTTGTTAAAGGAGCAGAAATATATTCAACCTGTATTTAGAAAGGTAAGGTTTCTTCCAGGCTGCCTACTGCAGTCAGTGTAGGCCATCCTCACCAGGTGCTCCTAATTTTCTCTCAGTGGAATTTATTCCATAGAATTCCTAAGCTTCTTCATTTGTGTTCTCTGATTCAAGCCATGGTCAAGGGAATATTTTATAAACTGGGTCACATAACACTATAGACAGTTTATAAAGGTTAATATGCTTCATCTTGTAGTGATCTTGAACCATGGGACCAGAATTCTATCTCCAGGTTTCATCTTTGGTTATAAGTCTAGCATCTAGCATCTCAGCTTCCCTATTTATACAGCACAGGACTGGACTCAATAGTTTTATTGCTGCTTGTGATGCTAAAACTCACTGATTTCCTAAAGTTATCAAGCCAAAGTAAGGGTTATTTTTTTTAAATTTTTTTAAATGTTTTATTTATTTCTAGGAGAGAGAGAGAGACAGCGTGAGCAGTGGAGGGTCAGAGAGAGAGGGAGTCACAGACTCTGAAACAGGCTCCAGGCTCTGAGCTGGCAGTTAGCACAGAGCCCGACGCGGGGCTCGAACCCATGAACCGCGAGATCATGACCTAAGCGAAAGTCGGACGCTTAACCGACTAAGCCATCCAGGCACCCCCAAAGTAAGGGTTATTTAACACAACCCAGGAGAGGAGAGATAAGATAAATTCTTGTGACCCTGATCAGATGATGAATTTTTTGCATTGGCATAAAAACAAACTTTTTCTATTTAATAGATGTATATGAATACTTAGATTAAGATAGTCTGTAATACAATACTTAATATATATTAATACTTAGGTTAAAATATTAACTATTTTACTTAGTTAATATAGTTGACTATATTTTACTATATTGTTTACTATATTAAAACTATTAATACTTAAGTTACAATAGTCTGTAATACAATAAGTCAAAGATCTAATCAGGTTTAGAATAAAAATTATTCTTTCACTTGGGTATACTAGAGAATAGTTATATAGATTTTTCTTGGATGTGTATGACTGCTATATATTTTGTTGATTTATGCAGCAAGCAGGCATGACATAATCGCTAGGTATGGGATTGAGAGAGAAGAGGCAAAAATTATAGACATAGCTATAACATATTAAATATGATAGTCTATTAGAAGCCAAGAGCATGGAAAAGAGAGTATGATCAATTCCAGTGGGTCAGACTGGAGGAAATTCATAGAGGAAATTATGCTGTAATATAATAGATCATTTAAATACAAGGATATACTGGGGAGCCTGGGTGGCTTAGTCAGTTAAGCATCCGACTCAAGCTCAGGTCATGATCTCACAGTTTTGTGAGTTCGAGCCCCACATTGGGCTATCTGCTGCTAGCATAGAGCCTGGAGCCTGCATCAGATTCTGTGTCTCCCTCTCTCTTTGCCCCTTCCCCACTCATGCATCTCTCAAGAATAAATAAACACTAAATACAAGGACATACTTTCCAGTTGGACAGAGATGGAATTGTATTATTGCAAGTTAAGGTGGGAGTACGGCATCAAGGAACCCAGAATAGCATGAGCAAAGACCCAGATATTACCTAAAGTAACATGTTATGTACAAGGGACTACGAGGAGTTTTACGAACAAGGAAATGGAGAGAGAAACAAAGTGCCTACAGAAAAAAAATCAGATGAAATAATGCTGCAGATGTAAACAGAAATCGAATTCTGATGCACTTTTCATTAAAGTTTAAAGAAAAAGTTACACTTTAAACATAATTTAAGCATAGTGGAAACATGGAGAACTGAATCAGGCATCTCCCACTTCATTATTTTATGCACTTTATGTTTTTGATTAAACCAAGAGTATACAGTGTGCTCTTGGTTTGGGGGGGTGGATTCCCGTGGTTCATCACTTCCATACAACACCTGGCGCTCATCCCAACAAGTGCCCATCACCCATTCCCCCCCCCGACTCCCCATAAACCCTCAGTTCGTTCTCCGTATTTAAGAGTCTCTTGAACACTTGTCTTTTCCCCAAATCTGTTCTTCTTCAAACAAGAACTTTTATGAATCAACAGGCCATCAGTCTGGTTGATACATCATCATCTATTTATAATTTTGAGACAATCCTTTGTATAAGGTGTAAAGCCTTAACCACGTGTATAAGCAACACCTAGCTCCTCATCAATTTCGGGCCTCAGTTCTTATTATGTTCCACTCATGCTGATCTTCCTTTCTCAAGTGAAAAGATTACTCACTCCAGTAAGTAATTTACACATTCACTTCCTCTTTGTTGAGAACGTGCTTTCCTCACTCTTCATCTAGTGAGCTAGCTCTCTGCATCCTTACAGTGTCACCTGAAATGTCTACTCCAACCCCTACCCCTGAGCTGGACCAGCTCCCCTCAACTCTTGTTCTCTTAGCACCTGTGGCTATTCCTTTTGTATCATTCCTTGAATTTGTAATTACTTGTTCACTCTCTATCTGCCCTACTGGGCTTTTAGTACAATGATGGCAGGTACCATGTCTGTAATAAACACACACAACAGTGCTTAACATAGTGTATACTCACAAATATGTTTTTTTGACTGAATGAGTGTCCATTAGGCAATAGTGTACAGGAGATCTCGGATGAAAAGGCTGGGTTGGGCAGATCAATTTAATAATTATCAGTATCAACATGATAGCATCATGAGAATGAGTGCGCTCACCTAGGAGGAGTGTGTCACTTGAGAAGAGCAATGAACCTTGACTGAGCAACACCACCACCTACATGAATGACATCTGCCAAGGATTTCTTTCAACTTAGCAAGAAAATAAATACAAACATTTAGGGTCTGTCCTCATTTGGAGAAAAACAAAGAATGATCAGTCATATCCCAAATCATCGTACCCAAGGGCCAAAAGCTAATCTGATGAATTTCATTTATAGGGATGAGATCATTGTTTTAAATTAAATCCTATTGAGTCTCTGAGGAGAATATTTAGGGTACGCCACCGCCTTGGTAGGTAATATATCATTAAATCGTTTGCAGTTGAAAAACACAAATCCTCCATGGAACGCATGTCACGCTTGGATGGCTGGATTGGTTACCTAGGAAAGTGCTTCTATTTCTCCGAAAATACTAGAACCTGGGCAGCAAGTCAGAACTTCTGTGCCTCTCACGCAGCCACTCTTGCTGTCTTCAATACCACAGAAGAGCTGGTAAGGCAATTCTTCTGAAGTATAGTTATGTTCTGGGAGGTTATAGCTGACATGGAGAATGCACACTGGAAATGGAAATGGTCCAAAAAAAGGTCGTCTCATCCAGCACAGAAGAGGCGAGCCCCACCCGCCCCCTTTTCTTTTCCACATCAGCTTCATCTGAAAGTGTTCATGTCAGACCACATTCACCTCCCAGGTCAGGTCAGAGCAACCGTTAGAGTAAAAATTACTAAACAACATTTAGAAGAGGACTCCTCCCACCTGACTTTTCAATTGGGAGTAGAAGGATTTAGAAATAAGTTACATAGTAGGCATTTTCCCCCTAGATAGAACATTTTATATGCTACTGCTTAGACTCTAAAAGCAGGTTTAGAGTTATGTATCTCCCATCAAAAAGAACCCAGCTGTTCTTCAAAAAAGTTCAACTGCATAATTACCTAGCTCTATATTTTCAAGTGAAATACAGCAGCAGAATCCAGGGCAAGTCCAAAATCTAACTGAATGAAGCATTTGCTTGCTGTTCATCCTAATGTACTTTGTTAAAGGATTTCTTGAAGCGATATTCTGACCACTCCCAATACTGGATTGGACTGAGTCGGGAACTAGGACAGACCTGGAAGTGGATCGATGGAACCACATACAGTCATTGGTAAGTCCTGGGTATATAATTTATATCCCAAGAGCTGGGGTTCCAAGCCCTTTCCCACCACAGAGAGGCCTGGGCTAAACATTCTCCTGGAAGTTTCCTTTGTGGAGGAGAGTAAAACGAGCCCGGGAAAAAAGTGGTAATGTAAATTATTGTATAAAGTAAAGGGGCCTCTGGGTGGCTCAGTGGGTTGAGCATCTGACTTTGGCTCAGCTCATGATCTGACAGTTTGTGGGTTCGAGCCCCGCATCGAGCTTTGCGCCCAGCAGTGCAGAGCCTGCCTTGGATTCTGTCTCCCTGTCTCTCTGCCCCTACCTCGCTTGTGATCTGTCTCTCAAAAATAAACAAACATTTAAAAAATGATGGTACAAAGCATTTAATACTTGCAATATTCCAAACAATGCTTCCTAGTCATTATATCTTTTGACCTCCGCAATGGGCATATCTACCTCCACTTTACGGATGAGACACATTAATGTTCAAAGATGTGAATACTTAGAGAATTTCACAACACACATTTAAAATGTACTTAGCAGTAAAGGCTGCATGTCTTCACCCTATTGGTTACAGGTTTTTTGAGTTCCTGAAGCCACATCTTAGGCCAAAGCGTAGTTCACTTTGAGTTGTATTAAAACACTACAGTGTTGGGGTTTGAGTAAAATCTCGCAGCAGAGGAAAATATTTCTCTCATTATTCCAATCGGGACTCACTCATTCTGTCGCCCCCTCTTTTTTTTTCCCCTCTTTTGTGTTTCATTTCAGGTTTCGATCGTTGGGATTGGAGAATATGCCTATCTACACAAAACAGGGGTGAGCAGCGCTAGTATCCACTTGGTTAGAAAATGGATTTGTAGCAAACCAGACGTATGTATACCCAGAAGTTAAGACATCGTGGATTTGAGATATTTCAAGCAAAATACTTTAAAAGGAATGGTTTTTATTCCTCTTGGGAGAAAATATATTACATTAATATAAAAGTACATGAGATTCATGTTTAGCAATTTCCATTGGCGTGTTACCCCAAATCTCTAAACCCGTTTTTATAAATCTTCTAGATTCTTAGGATTCAAGAAATATATGTCCCAACCTATGTTCCCCAATCTCTTTTAGAATAAAACTTCTGATATGTAATACATTAAAATATGAATAAAAAGTTTAAATGACATTTTAAGATATTTACTCCTATGGATTCTGGTAAATGTCATTTGAAGTGACCTGCTTTACTAAGAACTCTAATATTTTTGCCCTGTCTCCTTACTTTTATTATACTAGTTGTTGATGTTCTTTTGGTTTTGCAACGTGTATGAGAGTCACTCATGAATGTAGCATTATTTCAACACAAGCATCCTGTTGAAATGTGTTGAGTTCCTAGCTAAAGGAATCTCTTTCATCCACCAGCCTCACAGACCATCATCTTCAGACCATGATGTGAGGGCCATCAAGATTTTGAGTAAACAGTCTGGGCTAGCAGCTGTCCAGTACTGAATGCCAGGAACCTGTTGCATAATGGACAATATAAATGGCATAAATCTGGGGAGCAGATAGGTGAAAGAGCAGTTTGAACTTTGCTGCTCAAACTTCTAGTTGAGAAATGATAAATCCGCTTCTGTGTCAGAATGTGTAACTTTTCAGAGACTATGATCTCATTTACTCAAGGTTAACAAGGTCTGTTTGTTAAATATAACCCTTTTGTTAAAGTGAAATCTGTGATCTGCATCTTATGGGTGCATAATGTATGCTCGTTGATAGAAATTAAAACAGCAGTCATAGAACACAGACTGGAGAAGGGGACAAATCAGAACTCAGGAAAATAGCAGTAAGATATTTCTTGTATCTTTTACAAGCCAGGCCAAATTTTCCATGTTTTTGCCCTCTCTCTGCACCCTCATTTTCACTTCCTTTTCCCCTCTGTACTTCCTCCTCTCCTATTCTTCAGAAAATCAGAGATGAGACAGATGAACCTTTCATGTTTATTTATCCAAGTAGTAGCAGAAGGGCAGAAACCAATATATATGATGTATGAATAGGTTCAGCAGCAGCAGAAGGAAAGAAGTGCCCAAAGCCTGAGAAGGAGCTTCCCAGAGAAATAACTACATGGAAAATACTGTTAAATTGACAAGGAAAGTAAGGCTTTTCTGGGAAGAAGATTCTCAGGAAGAACATTGTCACCAGAGCAGATAGCACATGGGGATGGGGGGCACCAAATCTTGCACCATTGGGAAATTATAGTCTAGAAACACAGGGATAAGGAGTGTGAGATAGAAGAGAGTAGCAGCTGAGGTTAGGAGTGAGGAGGAGGAACAGGAGGATGAGGGAGAGCCAGGGCTAGATGTAGGAGGAATTCTATGCCATGCCAAGGGAGGGTTCGTATTTCTGCTCTAGATTGTTGCCCTAAAGTTATTGGATACTTATAAATAGGATAGTGACATCTTCAAATATATCATTTATAATAATACTCAGGACAATATAAAATCTGTCTGATGGACTAAGAACTTATTTAGAAAGCTTCTCAATCTACTATAATGATAAGAAATGGTAAGAACCATGCTGGCGATGGCAGAGAGAACAGACAGGAGTGAATGGATTCAGGAGCTCTTTCAGAGACGCGATCTTAGGAAATATAGGGTGAGCAGGATGAAGGAAAAATAGACATTAGAAATAAATCCCAGCTCAGTCAGATGAATTGTGGTGCTATTAGTGGATAAAGAAAAGCAAAAGATGTTTTAGAATTATGGAGTTTTAGGAGTCTGTAGGAAATTCATACGGTGCTGTTTTGTTGGATGTTGAATGTACAGCTCTGGAATTCATGAGCATGTTTGGGCTGGATATATGTCATGGGCACAAACAGAGCTCCCAGAGGTCCAAGAGAATATGTCAACATGACAAAAGTAGAAAAGCAAAGCAAAGCACTTGGTACCAAAGAGTAATTACCTGCTGAATGAAAAAAATAATTTTCTTCTATACATGCTTGTTACTTGATTTTTGTTTTATTTCCTAGAAAAGCTCTAAATTTAGATTTCCCAGGCTTGGTCACAAAGCAGACTCTGTGCCCATATTGGCGCGAGTAGAACAATAGCATAATTTCAGACAAATAAATTAGCTCATACTTATTTACAGAACTATTAAATGAGAGAAGTGCACAGTTTTCAGAAGATAAAACGCAGAAACATCCTGAGACGTTGGATTGGCAAAACTTCTAATACTGAATAGTGTCCAAGATCAGACAGGAAAATGTACAAATGTTTCTTTGTCCTTCAAGGTATAGTTTTAAAAATTAGATGATCATTGTATTTATATAATAGAACAAAAATGTCAACAATCCTTTGTATGTCTCATAGCTTTTATGGGACTTAATGCTATAGCGTATAGATTTTAAAGTTGTCTGCCTCAAGTTTACTAATTAAAATGAAATAAAGCTGTTAAAATTTGAAAATACATTGAGAGCTTTGGTGGGTTTTTCTAAATTTATTTCTTTACTTTGAGAGAAAGAACTTGTGCATGTGTGTGTGCAAGTGGGGGCGGGGCAGATAGAGTGGGAGACTGAGGATCTGAAGCAGTTTTGCACTGTCAGCACAAAGCCTGATGTGGGGCTCGAACTCACAAACTGTGAGATCACGACCTAAGCTGAAATCAAGACTCAGACTTAACCGGCTGAGCGACCCAGGCCCCTCAAGTTTTAGTGTTTTTTAAGTGAAATCCAAGTATTCTTACATCTCTCTTGCAAGATAATAATGAATAATTATGCCTGGAAGGCATATCCCTGAGATTTTAGAAAGATAGTTGATGAAAATTTTTGTTATACTTTTAAGCATACTATCTATATGCACTTAAGTATCAGTATATATGTATATGTTATACATACACATACTAAATATATATTTTTAGTGTATATATATTTATAGTATATAAAAATTTTTAAAATGTTTATTTTTGAGAGAGAAAGAGCATGAGCAGGGGAGGAGCAGAGAGAGGGGTGAGACATAGAATCCAAAGCAGGAAGCAGGCTCCAGGCTTCCAGCTGTCATCACAGAGCCAGATGCAGGGCTCAAACCCACTAACCTTGAGATCGTGACCTGAGCCAAAGTTGGGACACTTAACTGACTGGACCACTCAGGTGCCCCTATAGTATATATATATATTTTATATACATACTTAGTATTTAAAAAGCATGAAAGTAGTATGGTAATTTGTACAGTGATTAGCTGAGAAGCCAGAGTGTTCAAAACAATTGAGGATAAATGGGGTAAAAAAAGATGTTTAAGAATATAAGTGTTATCATTGTGTAAGAGTGAATGTATGATACTTCACTTGACTTGAAAAATGCTTACTTGGAAATGGGAGTAGTAATCCAGTTGCTCTACAGTCTCTATGGGAATACGTTCCCAGAGTAGTAATTTAATACTCAAGAACAGCTTACTGT